CAGTAAAAATATGAGCTGGAGCATTCTGAAAATTAAATGAGGCACGTAAACAGTGAACTACATTAGTCAAGGTGTGAGAAGCAGAAGCATGAATAAGCTTTTCTAGACCAGGAAAAGACACAACTGATCTAATTTGATAATATTTCTTAGGTGAAGTAGCAGAATTTAATGAGATTATTGACATGTGGTTCAAAGTTCAATTGAGAATCCAAAGTGATGCCTAAATTCCTTAATGTAGATTTTATATTGGGTGCCAGAGGACCAATAACCATTTGAAACTAAAAGGCCTGAAGAAAGAGAAGTTGAGAGTAATGGTAGAAGAGAACATGATGAAGAGGATACAAGAATGCAATGAAAGAAAAGTTCAGTTTCCACCCAGAAACCTCAAAATGAAAGTATCCTCGTTGCTCTGTGAGCATTGTAATTAACTGCTTTTTTCCCTTCCCAACTCTGACCTAACAATTCAATGAGCACTCTCTAAAATAACTCTTTTTGGTTTTATCCTTAATTTTGTATACTGGGATAATTATCTCACACATGCTAAAAAGTATTTGTGCCATTCTTCATTCTTCTACAATGACTGAAATTCCTTAACCTAACAAGCAGTTTGGTTAAACCTAACCAGCCCCTAAACCAGAGATCATAATTCATAGCAATTCAGAGTATGAGCAATTCTGTAGCATACACCAGGCTGCTCCCTTGCACTGTTCAAATGTTTATCTAAGAAAAGTAATGCACCAAAATTCATATCAAATCATGAGCCAGTAATGCATGTATGACCCACGTAGTCTGCAAGACTGCGATCACCTGACCAATGCACTGATGGGAGTAAAGAAGGAAGTAGTATTAAGAGCAAAAGTCCATCTGAAGGGGCAGGTTGAGGTGGTGGATGGGTCAAACAAACACAGGTCTTTTCCCTAGGATACCAGTGTTTGTGTCCTGTGTGAAGCCAAGTGAACTTTGACTTATTTTACGGTATGTCATCACCATGTTTATACTCCCAAAGCTAACCTACGAAACTTTATATTAAGTAATATATGTAACAAAATTTGTGGGGAGCCAATTTGTGAGACATCATATGTTGCTTACATATGGGCATACTTAGAACTACAACCTTGAAACTTCAAAAATAGGGAGGTAGAGAAACCAAAGCTGGGTGTCTGGGGGAAAAAAATCTGAGTTTGTTTACTGTGTTGTGGTGACTTTAAATAGGGCTACAGATTTTTTTAAAGATTATTTTTATGGGTTTTTTGCCTTTACTATGCAGGACAGAGTGAAGAGGGGGTGAGGGAGAGAGCGGGTGTGTGTGTGTGTGTGTGTGACATGCAGAGATGGTTGCAAGCCAGAGTTGAGCCTGCAACCGCTGCAGCGAGGCATTGCCTCTGTACTAACCACTGCGCTACTGACGCCCCAAATAGGGTTACACAATTAATCAAAATATTATGGCCAAGTGCAATATCCAAATCGCAGCCTGCTGCATGTTCAAGGGGGCAGGGCAGGGCCAGCTCTGCCACTCTGTGTCTCACACACACACACACACACACACACACACACACACACACACACACAGGCCCTGCTCTCAGTGACAATGGGGGAGAGAGCAAAATGCTCCCAAGTATGGTTATACTTCATCAACTCCTACGCATGTAAGGGCGGAAACACGAGCAATCTTCTGAAACATCTAGCCAAAGTGCATCACATACAGGCGGAGAAATGAACCGTTTTCAACCGCCTACCTCGTAGTTCATCTCCCGTTACCCCATCCACCTTGGGTATGTTATAGTCTATAATATTGATTTATTCGGGTTTCTGAGTTTTTTCCATTTTTTCCTAGTTAAAGGGCCACTGTGTAAAATGGGTTGAAAACAGTTGACAACAGTGACATCAGTGGTCAAATCCTAGATTGCAGGGCTCACTCGCTCACCCCTCCCGTCGGGTAAATGACGGTGGCCTCGTAGGGACAAAAAGCCTTACGCAGACACGAGTTTTTCAGGAGTAGGTCTATCTAGCGATGAGGTGAATATTTATTTAGAAATCTAAACCATGTTACGATATTGTAATGAATCCCTCACGAGCAGGAGACAAGAGTAGCGTTCGGGAAAAAGGCCAGTTTATTTGAGCACTCCAAAAACTCCGATAACGCTCCAGGGGGTAAAAGACTCCGTCCCAAACTCTGACTCTTCTAGCATAACATACACACTTCATACACACATACTTGTTTACCATACCGAGTGGGGACCCCCTCCCCTCTCTGCTCCACCAATCTCCAGCCCGCACACTGACTGACAGCGTAGCCTGTAAACAGAGCTCAGCTGTTTATTTAGCCTAGCAATATCGCCGGACTATAGTAGCTGCAATGGAAGACTTTGAACGCGATTTTGAGGAGTTTCTTGTAGCGGACACAGACCCAGAGCCATACCTGTTTGAGCCGGAGCATACAGATGAGGAACTTGGATGCTGAGCGGGCGAGAAGAGAGGCTGAATCCTCCGCTCCCATTTTGCTGCACAGAAAGGGATTCGGTGCTACCATCATTGGGGAGATATATCACCAGGAGGAAAAGCGCCGCAGAGAGTGCATCACAAGGAGTGAAGTTGCGTCTTCTTTTCCTCGCAGATGACGGTTCGGGTTCATTCTCTCCTGTTGCGTTGTAAGTGTGGTCCATTTGCAAACTTTATAACTAAAAACACCTTTCACTACTCTCTATCGACAAACTACTAACACTCTCTACTGTTTCCTCCTCCTTCTTCTTTCCTTCCGCTGTCTTCGTTGGTTCATTTATACACGCAAAACGCGTTCTCTGGCTGGCTGGATTGTCCGCTCGATCTGCCGTACATACATGGCGGTGCAAGATGGCGACCTCTCTAAAGCAAGGCCCTTGCTATATATATATATATATATATATATATATAAAAGCATAATTATAAGGCTACGAAAACCAAACGAATTTTATTTTATAGCGATCATACACTTGTATAAACATATTAATGGGTAGAATATTCAGATTCAGATACAGATTTGACAATAAACCATGCCAAATATTACACACTGGCCCTTTAAAGGATTTTTTCTTATCTGCTGCAAGGATGCAAGGACAGAGGGATGCTCGAAGGCCCTCTGAGGCAAACGGAGGCCCTCTGGTGCTTTATAAATAAAATCAAAAATTGAAATTGAATTCAAAGAAAATGCTGTAGCAGAATGTTAATTCAAATACAGTGCTTACATACATAGAAAATGAAGCGATTCTGTTCCTAATTTGTTTTGTTTTTCCACTTATAAAACCTCCATAAAGAACTGATAAGAGTATTATTTAAGTACCAGATCGATAATCAGTATCGGTAAGAGTTGTGGTATTGTTAAAATCTTACTATACCTATCTCTAAGGTAGACATGTTGCAACTGCTTTGTACCATGCAATGCTTATTAACCTCAAAAACAGGCAGACAGTGTTTTCTGTGATGGATGATGTTACTCAAGAGCCTGAATCAAATGTGCAGAAGGCAACCAGACAACTGAAAACACTGCAACATGTCTTGACAATGTTTCGCAGTAATTCAAAGTACAAGTGATTTGTGGTCAATTGGTTAGAACGGTCTTTTAAGATCTTTTTTGGCCTCTGTTGTAAAATTGGCTTGGATGTGGCCACGAGCACAGTTTGGTTTGACTGTTTTCAGTATTTTTAAATGTTTTTATAAATATAAGGTAGAAATTAAATACTGCAGGGTGGGCAGTTGGTTGTCTAAAAGCATTCAATCTTGTTAGATAAGCTTTCATGCCAGCCCACATGATTAGTTTTAATTTAGAGTAAGTTTTTCCTTTTAAAAATGTGGATCCGCGGCCTCTGGACCACTGCATTCAGGCCGACAATGAAAAATGCGTGCAGTAATTGTCTGTCTGTGAAAGTCACCCGTACCATTTCTCTGTGCCTTTAATGTACACAGTGATTAAATGTCAACTTAATTGTGTTTATTCAGAGTTTATTTAAAGTGACACCGTAGCATGCTGTGCCATATCTGAAGCACTCATGCTAAACAGAGACATTTCCCAGCATTAAGACATACAATAGGGCTTTCATGGAGACTGTAGGAAACTAGTCCTGCTGTACACCAACCACACACTCTGTCACACTGCTCCATGAGTGTGTGTGTGTGTGTCTAGGGTTACCATTTTTCAATGTATACCACATGTAGCGACAGTGTATCGCCTGATATGTTTTCAATATGGAGAAAAGGACACAGAGAGAGAAAGACATGGGGAAGCCATAGACGGCCACAAAATTTTAAAATTTAATAATATGGTGTTTATATTCAATATCTGGAAACACAAGCGGTTACCATGACAACTCAGCTACATCGAGGCGAGCAAGCGAGCCAGCCTTTCTTTAACTTTCCCTATAAGCCTCACCTTTCTGTATCCTCATTTCCCTTTCCTCCGCTCTCCTCCCACTCTCGGATGACAACTCTTTCGACAGTTTAATAAATAAATAAATGCTCGTCTCTCCCCTCCCTGCTCCATACATGAACCAGCCCTCCTCCCGCAGCCAAAGGCTCCAAGCAGAGATTACTCCCTGTAAAATAAAACGTCTGAAACAGTATTTGTTCCGCAGCCAGGAGCTTGTCGTCAGGTGACCCGCTGGAATAAATCTTTTCAATAATGTCAAAGGCAGCGCCAAAAATCTGCCAGTGTGTGCCCTTACTCCTACACACACATCGCACAGTTACAGACACACACACACACACAGCGAGAACAATAACACAAACTCACACACGTCATCACATCACACAAGCGTGCACACAGAAAAACACACACTAGGTGGCTGATTTTAGGAAATGATGAATTGGAAGTGACAAAATGTCCTCACTTTATTCCGTGCCTATGCACACACACACACACACACACACACACACACACAGAAATGTCTTCACTTTGCATGATGTTTTTACCCATCTTTCAAAAGCACACACACACACACACACACACACACACACACACACGGTCTCACCTGTTCCTGCGTCATGCTGTGCAGCTGCGTTTGCCAGGAGGCGGAGTCAGAGCGGTGATAGGCGGGGGGCGGGGCAAAGTCCTGCAGTATGATTGGGTCTCGCTCCTGACACAGTGAGGTCAGGTGACTGATATACAGCTTCAGTTTACTGCGATTCTGATTGAGATCCAGGAGAGGAGAGAGAATCTGAGGGAAGAAGGGAGTGATGGGGGACAAAAATAATTATTGTGTACAAAATATAACAACAGCAAAGGCTAAACCAGCCCACAATGACTATTTAAAAGATTTTACCAGAATAAAAACACACATAAAGTCTTGCCAGAGAGAGACAGAGAGACGAAGAGGTGGTGTGAGAACAGTGGATGCTGATAGCTATTATTTTATTCTTTATTATAATGTATGTAAAAACAATCTGAGCACCCTATTTAATTACACACAAATGTTCAGGCACAGATTTTCTACAGGCATGAAGAGCAAACTGAATGAAAGAACACAGGTGCATATAATGAACTCTGATGCAAAACACCTGCTTCTTTGTATTTTCTGTGATTGGCTGAAGTCACTTGTTCACTGAAACCAGACACTCAACAGTTAAGTGAGCAACAAATTGAAATTTCGGACACATATGAATCCTCATCATTTTGCGTCATCACCGACAGGTTTAAAATCTGCAATTTCCTTGTCTAGAAAATCTGACAATCCAATTTGGATACTAAAAAAAATGGAGGAAAGTAAATATAGTGTCTTATATAGGAAATAGGAAGTGATTTTGGACACTGCAGTCCATGTCTTCAAGCACCAAGCAAAGTCATGGAGACTAAACACGAGAGCTCGGCTGATTCAAACACAGGCTGAAGTGAGAAGAAGACAGACACAGAAATGATGAGATAACGGAGGATGGGATGTCACATTAAGTCACATAAAGTCAAAAGGAAACCCAAAGAAAATCCAAAACAGTAGTGTATAGTCTAAACACTCTAGAACCCCTGGTTAAAGACAGTTGGTAATAGTATTTACCCACAAGCATATGTTTTCTATTATAGAAATATGCAACTCTCCAATCAGTCTGTAAATCTAAGCTCTATTTACATGTAACTTGTTAATTCCAGTCGGTAGTTTAATGTTCAGTTGTCAGGATGGCCAAGTGGTCTAAGGTGCCAGACTCAAGGGTTTATTCCTTCCTCAGTGAAAGGGACTTCTGGTCTCCAAATGGAGGTGTGGGTTCAAATCCCACTCCTGATAGAGCTTTAATCAGTTTGACAATGCAGATATGTCTCCTTTTGTTTTAGAAAATGGCCAAATTCATTGTAAAACACTGACTGTGCTACACAGGTGACCTGATTGTAAATAAACAAACTGTGTCACCAACAAAACAAATCCATTGATATTTCAGGGGGTTGACCCAGAAGGCAATACAATTAATGCAGCGTCTGAATTTGATCAATTTTTTTGGGCAAAACAGCCCGGCTAGCTCAGTCGGTAGAGCATGAGACTCTTAATCTCAGGGTCGTGGGTTCGAGCCCCACGTTGGGCGATTGTAGTTTAGTTCAAAACTTCATGTCACATGAACATGTTACAGTCTACCCTGTACTGAGGACAGGAAAGTACAGTGTTCAGTCTTCAAATCACATTCCCATGGATGTATCAAACATATAACTGCTGTGTGTGTCCCCTTTGAAAGCTGTCAATGCCAACTAGCTGCCCAAGCAGATGAAGGTGCTGGACTCAAGGGTTTAAGGGGATTCTGGTCTCCAGGAGTGGATTTACCCATCAATATTAGTGGAAAATTCATCTTCATTTGCCATCTAAACAGCTTAGTGTGAATATTGTCTTTTTCAGACTAAGGGCAAAAACTAGACTACTGTGTGCATGTAAACGTAGTCAGTAATACATAGCTTTTGAGTGTTGTAATACATTTTCCAGGTCTCCGATAAATCTGTAAACCTCTAAGTTCTGTTTACATGTAAGTTGTGAAGTCCAGACTGTCATTTGTTTTTTCAGTTGTCAGGATGGCCGAGTGGTCTAAGGCGCCAGACTCAAGGGTTCATTCCTTCCTTAGTGAAAGGGACTTCTGGTCTCCAAATGGAGGCGTGGGTTCAAATCCCACTCCTGACTTAAGTTTTACATGCAGGTTTGGTGATACAGATATCTTGTAGAGTACTGACTGAACAAAATGGCAAAACTGACTGGTCTGACTGCCATAAGGCTTTTAAACCTAGTTGGTGGTAGTAATTTGGAATGAAAATATAACCATTATTTGTATTCCTGGAACTTGACATGCAATGCATCTCTGTATGCCCACTTATTTATTGTTTTTTCTGTTATTTAATTGTGCCACTCTGCCATTCGGTGCGCAGTGGTGTAAGTGCCAGTGACTGTCTCTCTTTTTGATCCTTTTGTGGCCTTGGCTATGTACTGATCTGTTGTCTCTGACATAATGTTGTGCTCCTGTCTGTCTGCTGCTTGTTGCCGTCGTCATTGTTTCATGTACTGTACGGTGACTGCTTGAACTGAATTGCCCGTTTGGGGACTAATAAAGTTGTCTGAACTGAAGTGAAACAACAACTGAGCTACACCGTGAGCTGTCAGGTAGCAGATTGTGTCAGCAACAAAAAATCCATTTATATTTTGGGGAGATGACCCAGAAATCCAACTGGATGAGCAGTCTTAGCCAATTACAATTAATGCAGCGTCCAAATTTGATGATTTTTTCAACAAACATAGCCCGGCTAGCTCAGTCGGTAGAGCATGAGACTCTTAATCTCAGGGTCGTGGGTTCGAGCCCCACGTTGGGCGGTGGACTTTTAAACTCTGAACTTAGACAACTGAGATGGGTGTGACAAACTGCACTGTGACTATAAGCCTTTACAAAGCGGTGACACAGATTTTACCTGCAGGTTTCACTCTTTTTGCAGAGTTTAACAATAAAGATTGCTCGATTGCCTGGGGCAGGTAATATGCCATGTGGAGCTAGTAAATCCAACAACACAACTGCGTGATCGGGCAATTGGTAAAAAATAAGTTAAACACAACGATTTCTCCAGAGCTGATGATGGCAGTAGCTAAGGAGTGAGCCATCTTGCTTTCTTCTCATCTCTGTTGATTTAAAGTTGCACATGAACATTGCCTGTATGTACATTAGAGTGTCGATACCCGTCCCGAGCCTGACAGGATCCATCAGAACCCAATGGGTCAGGCCTGGTTCAGTTAACAAATAAGAAAATTATTCTTGGGTTTGGTTGGGGTTCGACCCACTTGACATGCTGGTGTGTTGTGCTATGGCCTATTCAAGTGCCAGAATTTCTTATTTACGTGACAATGCTGGCCAATAGTTACATTTCAGGCAGGAGGCGGCAAATATTCAAACTCAACTAATGAAAATGGAGGCCGCTAGACAAAACTTGCTATCAGGAAAGTTTAAAACTGCTGAAAACCATGCAGGTAACCATGTCAGGTATCAAACTGCGTCGGGCTCGGGTCGGTTCGGACTTAAAAATTAGAAAGTCTGTTGGGGTCGGGCTGGGCTCGGTTATAACTGTCTCGGATTTGGGTCGAGTTTGGACAGGTAAATGTGGCTCGAGCTGCGCTCCAATGTACATGTGGCCTACAAAGTCATGAGAACATAATAAGTTCTCAGCCCATTGAAATTAATGCAGGCTTGAAAATGGATCGATTTTACATCCAAACTGGCCCGGCTAGCTCAGTCGGTAGAGCATGAGACTCTTAATCTCAGGGTCGTGGGTTCGAGCCCCACGTTGGGCGAAAGAGTTTTAGACTAAGACTGACTGACCCTGAAATGCTACAGTCTAGTCTGTATTGAGGACCTGAAAGTGAAGTGTTCAGTCATCAAGACACTTTCCAAATGATGTGTTGAACAAAAACTGCCCCTCTGAAAGCTGATGACGATAACTAGCCAAGCAGAGGAAGGTGCCACACTCAAGGGCTGACAAAAGGGGCTTCAGGTCTCTAAATGGAGGGGTAGATTCAAATCCCACTCTTGACACAGTTAAAACCTTCAGTTAATATTCATTTAGTTTGGCGATACAGATATCTTTTGTTTCTGTGTTAAACAAGTTTTCGTTGAATATGTACACGAAGCCTTTAAAATCATGAGAACATAGAAAAAAAGCTACACAAGTGACCTGATAGTCAAGTAGCAGACTGTGTCAGCAACAAAACAAATTCAACAAAATCCGGAGTTAATACACAAATCCAACTGAGTGAGGGTTCTCAGCCCATTAGAACTAATGCAGCCCCAAAATCTGATCCATTTTTTTCATGAGACTCTTAATTGTGGGTTCAAAGCCCATGTTGGGAGATGGTGTCTCAGACTAAGACTTAAAATAAGCATATATCCAGCTACATTTTTCTTTGTCTTCTGACGTGGCATTTTATATAAGATAGACCAAACACTACAGTCAGCTAACTGCAATACATAATTGTTACACAGATTCATTTCTATAGCTTATATGTAGAGAACTGATCCAGACCCAAATTTAAAGTTACAATGTGTAATTTACGTGGTTGTTTATTAGCAAATATCAACTATTGCTTTCATAAATATATATTTACTCAAGTGTAATGCAATTCACATACAAATGGAAGCTGTCTCATAGGCTTAGAATGATTTCTCTATATATACACACAGGCAGGGCGCGGTCTGCTGGAGGCTGCCTTCTTGCGTCGCCATATTTGAATACAGTGGCCGAAAGGGATATACGCGCTTCGCCTTTCGTGTTTACCTAGAACTTGCCGTCACTGGAGACAGAGAAGATGAAGCTCAATCCGGGGCGTTTCTGCGTGAACCTGCTTTGTACTTTTACGATTCTGTTGCACTTTAAATGGAGGACCACACACATGTTCTGCCCCGTAAGAGGGAAACCACGCCACCAAATAAAAGAAAAAGATCAGATAAGCGAGGACAGGACAAAACGCAAGTGAATATCGGCATTGCTTATTCCAGGTGGAAAGAACTGAAGGAGAAGGATTTCACAAGGGATGTGGAGGTTGCTTGCTTTCTGCTGGACAGGTAATTCAAGCTTCATGTTTGCAACTACTTTTCCCTCTCGTCTAAGTTCGAGTGACAGCTACGTTTACGTGCTAACGTTATCCTAGCCTTGGCTAACGTTATCCCAGAGCTACAGCTAAATGGTTAGCCTAGCCTACAGCCTAATCTGTTGATTCCT